CCCCAAAACCCCAAAACCCCAAAACCCCAAAACCCCTTCTAATTGGCTCAATTGAATGAATGAAATAAAAAATTACTTGGATTATCTAAGTTAATTAATAAATTACAAGCAATGGTAAAAAAAGAATCTAAGTACAAGACAAATAAGAAGGTTTCTAAGAAACCTACACAAGAAACTAAAAAACATAATGCTGATCATAAGGCAGCACAAAAACTCCCAGATAGCATCGGTCATATCGGAGATGGACTAGGCGATAAGAAAATTATTCAGTCAATCGATGAAATTACAGGATCCACATGTCTTAAAGTCTATACTGACAACTCCCACTATGAAGTCATTGACAAGAAGAGTCAAAGAAAGAAGAAGAACAGGACTAAGAAAGCAGGCTTAAGTGATGAGGAGGACAAGTATGAAGGCTCTAAGGAAGCTCATGAAGAATATCCAAAATATAAAGTTCAAACTCTGCAAGACCATAAAAATGAGGTAAATATTTGTAATAATCTTTACTAATTCAAGTCTAGAATCCTGAGATTGATCAAGATTCTGAAGAGTATGCTTACCAGCAGAAACTGATTAACAAAGAGAATACCAAAAAGAAGAAGAAAAGCATGTTTCTTGAAGGAAATCCCAATCATATGTTAGATCAAGTTGATATGTCAGATGCATTCGAAAATTCTGAAAAGGAAGTTCATAATATGGGTGGTATGGATGCAGGGAAGAAGGAAACTCTTTCTGACTCTGATGAGCAATCCGATAAGCATTATGGCATCAAAAATAAGGTAAGCTTTGGTTGGGATATTGGAAGAGCAGCATTATTTACGTTTGAAATTTTAAGTATTATTAATCACCTGTAAACTGTTAGATTTATATCAGAACCTCTCTTATATGCTTATTTAGAACCGTACAAGGAAGAAAAACACTCATAAGAAAATAATAAAAGCTGAAACTTCAAAAGGACTTGAATATTTCCATGCTAAATCTTAGATTCTCTAGCAGCTAAAACAATGTGTTTAAATCTAATCATCTACGCTATGGATCTGCCATTCAATTTAATATTAATTAAAGGGGTTTTGGGGTTTTGGGGTTTTGGGGTTTTGGGGTTTTGGGG